AATCAGCTGCTCTAGACCCATGAGTTTTTGTCTATATAGAGTTGTCAAACGTTTTGCTTATTTTTAAGCAATTGTATTCATGTCTTACTATAAGTTTGATATATATAGTTTTATAGTAAACAGATCTTCTTTCACAAAAATCTATATTGACTGTTTTTTTTCCTCCTGAGGCAAACCACTGTCTGTAAGTCCTTTTACTGTGTGCCTTGGAGGGCATTTCATTTGAAAGCTGGCTAATGAAGCTGTATATAAGAGTACAACAAAACCAAAGGGCCAAAGCTATGGTGTAATGGCATTTGACTGCTTTTCAGACATAACAGCATCAGAACTACTGCCAAGTGTGACTGCATCATTAAGTTTCAGAGCGAGTTAGCCTATGAATGGAAGAACACAAATTATGTCCCATATACATTCATGAAGAAGATGCAGGTTCCACACAGAAGAGTGTAATTGTCAAATCAAACAAGAAGGCCATTCTTGGGCACCATAATTTTTTTTTCTCATGTATTTAAGGAAATTCCCAGCTCAGCTCAGAAACAAGATCCTTACTTTATAGGATGCAGAGTTGAAGTCTGCTTTTTTCCGTCCTCTGAACACCAAATATTTCCTAATATAATTATCAAAGTGCTGTGAATGATTTCTTTGGTAGTCCACCAGTTAGAACATTGTTATAGAACTATATATTTTCAGTGATGATTCTGAATTGCTCTGGAATTCAAGAAAGTAATTCTCCACTAGTCATTAAAGCAGGTGCTTCCAAATGAATCTGAAATATATATATATAGGTATTTGGTTCAGTTAAAGCAATTCTTAAAATGGCAGCATCTTTTTTTCTCAAGCTCACACAGAACGCTGAAGAAGGATATGGCATCTTTAATTTATAGTAGAGTGTGCTGCATATTTCAGGTTGAGAGACAAGCTTGGCTTTCAGCTAGCATGCCTGGAGGCTAACCTTGAAAAACTAAAAATTTAAAACTAAATTTAGGGGCGATACTAAATTAGATGTAATGTATAATTAAGTAAAATATAATTTATTTTATTTTATTCATTAGATTTATATCTTGCTTTTTTCTCCATCAGTTCAAGGTGGTAGAGATAAATAATATTTTCTCTTCCAATTTTCTCTCACAAGCAACCCCATGAGAGGACTGGCTCAAAGTCACATACTGTAGTGAGCTTTCATGGCTGAGTCTCTCCCTGGACCTAATCTAATACAATCAATATGCATGTATTTGATTCTGTCTGCTTTCTCTCATGATAAAATGATAATTTGGCAGCATTTCTGAGGTTGTTTTCTGAAGACTTTGGGGACTTCTAATTTTATACCCTTGAACTTTGTGCATAACAACTCCATTGTGAAATAATCCCTTTCTCTCCTGCTTTTCTTTAAAGTTAAAATACCTTCAGAAGTCTATGTGTTTAAATGGATGGCAGAAAGAAAAAATAACTTGCATTCATTTTTTTCCTAAGCTACTTAAGATAGTGGATGCTTGAGACAGGAAAAAAACCAACTCTTTATTAAAATTTTGAGTCCAGAAGATATGGGATTGTCTCTGAGCATTTCCAGGCTTTTTTTTTTCCAGTTCTCAAAAGATCAACTCACTATTCTTTGAAATGTATTTATGAATAAATTTTGAGGTATGCGTATTATATTTTTTCACTCTTAGTAATACAAACAAACAAGCCAACCAAAATTGCATAATTCCTGGAAATGATTCACACATTCTTTTTCATAATAATAAGACATCGCTGCATTTATAAATTGTGCAAATAGTCTTACGCTGTGCTTTGGGAGCATGTTTTCTATTTGATGTCTTTCTCTTGCCTTTGGTGCCATTTTTACAGTTGTTTATCTAGACATACCTGCATAACTGGAAAAGCTGGGCATTGTGATTTTTATGTGTTTGAAAAAGACACACCACTTCTAAGAAAAAGAGAAGCAGAGTATTTGTTGAGTGACTGAAGTCTGTTTCCTTGTCAAGAATAAAAGGAGAAACTCCCAATAAATACGCTTACATGAAAGTGCAAAATAAAGGTAGAGACATGTTGACATGAGATAATTTTGCAGATAAGGATAAGAAATTAAACAGTACAAAGACCTACAAAAATACCTCTCTAGAGCTTATGTCATTTTCTATTTTACTGAAAAGGTCCAAATCTACATCAGGAACTGGCAAGCCTTTCAAAGTTTAGACATTTAAATAAATGAAAGGCTAATCTGCTTTGCAAACTGCATTGTTGCCAGTCTGCAGAATAATAGAATAGCAGAGTTTGAAGGGACCTTGGAGGTCTTCTAGTCCACACCCTGTTCAGGCAGGAAACCTATACCATTTCTGACAAGTGATTGTCCAATCTCTTCTTCTGAAGGCAAGTCATTCCACTGGTTAATTGTTCTGTCAAGAAATTTCTCCTTAGTTCTAGGTTCTTCTTTCCTTGATTAGTCTCCATCCATTGCTTCTCGTCCTGCCTTCAGATGTTTTGGAGAATACTGGACTCCCTGTTCTTTGTGACAGCCACTTAGATATTGGAACATTGCTATCTTGTCTCCCCTAGTCCTTTTCACTAAACGAGACATACCCAATTCCAGCAACTGTTCTTTATATGTTATTAGCCTCCAGTCCAGAGGTGGAATTCTGCAGGTTCTGACCAGTTCAGGAGAACCTGTAGCGAAAATTTGGAATAGTTCGGAGAACCGGCAAAAACCACCTCTGACTGGAGATTTTACTCTATCCTTCCCCTACACACCCACCAAGTCTTTCAAGACCTGGATATGATATCAGGCTTCGACGTCCCAGAAGACCGGGGAGATTTTGCGATAGCTGTCTTATTGTTGTTCATATCATCTTCTCCTATCCTCTCCTTTTCAATGGTTTTCAACTGTGGTTGTTTTAATGTAGTTATTGTTTCATTTTAATTAAGTGCTGTACACCACCCAGAGTCATTTTCGTATGAGATGGGTGGCTAAACAAGTAAGATAAATAAATAAAATCTCTCTTAAAGTGGGTGTGTCCATATGCACATACACACACACGTACCACTATCCTTCATACACACAAATGCAAACATATTGTAGGGGGTGTGCATAAGCGCACTAATGTGCCTACCATCCCTGTCCTATTATTTATTTTTATTTTTTTCATATGTATCCATTTAATGTATTCATAACTATGTTTATACTTATACCTATTATCTTGTAAGCGATTGACAAATCAAATAAATAAAAATAAAATAAAATATTCAAATTCAAAAGCCAAATGGTTCCATTCACTTCAGCTGCTTATAAAAAGAATCCTGCTTTAAAACAGCTGAAGAAGCTGGAAGCCAAAGCATTTTGCTCCTAAGCTTTTATCTTTCTTTTTTTGTTAGCTGCTCTAATAAATATATTAAGCGATTAAATGCATTTTTCTAGGTTCCTGTACAAACTTGACTGAAACACTGCTTGATGGTTTAGAAATTGTTATTAGATCTGTGCTTCAAACGACAGAGAGAAAGAGAGAGAGAAATCTTCTGTATTTCTTGAGTCCTTTTGAAAAACCAGATCCTTGGCTGCTGGTGCTGTGAATCTAACCAAGCTATCAATTTTCTTTTTGCAAGCTGTTGTCCTGAGTGTAAACTGCATCTGTCAGGAAACTAGCAGTGGCCTTCTTCCAGTGTGCACCTGGTGCACACCCTGCTCTGGAATTGGTGTGTCAATTGGCTGCCCGGCTTGTGCTGATTAAATTTCTAATCAGGCTAAAGAAAGATGATTTGCCATGTCCAGGCACTGCAGTTACTGCCTCTGCTTGGATGAATTTACTGAATCAGAATTTAACTTCTTGCTATCGTTTTCCCTTTCATGATGTCCCCTACAAATTGATGATTATGTTTTTCATGCTTATAAACAGTTGGCCTCTAATCATTTGGATCATTGACAGGGATTGTGACTGATCTAAAACAAAGCACAATTTAATTTCTTCTTGGAGCTTTTCAGAGGTGATTAAAGACCGTGCACTGCCCTCCACTGCTAATTTTAGAAACTGCACACCAGGATGGTTTGCAAATTCAAAACCATGGGTCAAAGTATATAATACAGCTTCTGTGTGTATTTGAAATGAAATTTCCATCTTGTTTTCCATAAATATGACAATTACTATCCAATCTGTGTGCTTTTAAACATAAAATACATAATATGAAACAATAGAACAAATACAGTGTTCCTTTGGAATGAAGACAGGATCTGTTTGTTGTTTGTGTGGAATGTTTTCTGTTCGATTTGTGCACATAGTTTTTCTATACAACTGATCGTTACTTTTGGTAGAAAGCAAAATGGGAAGTTTAAGATTGTTTATGAATTGCAATTTAAATATAGGTAGCCAAATAATGGCAGAGGATCTTTCTGGATTATTTATTTCCATCAAATACTTATCAGAATATGATATGGGAAAGGTTGTTGTCTCTTTAATAAAGGCAAATTAAACACAGAAAAGGGAGAAACAAACAGAAGAACTTTGTCAGATGCTTGAAAGATTCAGCTGGGATTTATCTCTTAAGTAACTACTCACATTACTCACTGGTTAGCTGGAAATGTAAATGGCCCCACAAGATTTGTGTATTGGAACTACATGTGTAAAATGGTATTTTTCTAAGAAATTTTCTGTCTGTCTCTTGTGGCAGACAGTTGAGGGAGGGGGAAGAACTGAAGACTTCCTTTAGTCCATTTCCCTTTTGACCTCACAACTTTAACATTTTTGTCCTCCGTAACATATTTGTCTGCATCGGTCACAAGAAGATCATTTCAAAGCATTCTCAGTGGAGCTGAGCTCATGCCATTGTATGAGCATGAAGCTGAAGCTGAGATGCTATTTCTTCCTCCTGGCTTCATAGGGAAAAAAAAGTGGGGAAGGGGATATGCTATTTTGCAAAAAATATTTATTAATTCATTAATTATAAGCCACCCAGCTTTCATGGAGCAGCAGATGTTTGCCACAATTTGCACTGTCTCTTTCTCTTTTGTGTTTTAGGTTCTCTCTCCATAAATCAAGTTCTGAAGAAAGTGCAGTTGGTCAGTATGCTTCCTCTTATTTATTTATTTATTTATTTGTGTGGGAGGGGGGGGAGCGCTTTGTTTTGAAAAAGCCATAACCAAATGTTATGCAAATTCATGATTCTCAAAACAATAAATTCATTTGTTCTTCTACTTAACACTTTTACTTCTGAAAGAGCTTTTTCCTCCAAAATCCACTTTAAGCTTTTAAAAGTTACAACAGCACTGGAAAAAGGGACATATGACCTTTTTTTTCACTTAACAACTGTTGCAGCATCCCCTGTGGTCACAATTCAGATGCTTGACATAACTGGCTCATATTTATGACGGTTGCAATGTCCCAGGGACATGTGATCACATTTTATGACCTTCTGATAAGCAAAGTCAATGGGGAAGCAGAGACTCAATTAACAAGAAAAGGTCATAAAATAGGGCAAAACTCACTTAGGAATTGTCTCGCTTAGCAACAGAAACTTTGGGCTCAATTGTGGTTATAAGTCAAGAACTGCCTGAGGTATATCCTTGTGTCTGTGATCAATTATGTTGAGTCATACTAAACCCAGAAGAATAAGAGGTGTTTTTATTTAATTGTTGACCATAATCTGTTTTTCCCTAAGTTATGGATGCCTATTGTTCTTTTCCATACCCCTGGCTTTTTCCTTTTCCTTTCTCTTTCGCTTTCCCTTTCCTTTCCTTTTTTAGCAAAGGTCTTCCCTACTTGAAACCAAATATTCTGCAGCCTTTGGATTTCCTTTTAGCTCTGTATTTGCTTTAATAAAGAAAATCAGAAAGTGCGTCTTAATCAAATGCTGGACATCACCAGTTTGTAAATGAAATTTCAAAACAGAAAGCAGGATATATTGTAGACTTTTAATCTACATGGTTCAAAACCACTGGAATTTGCAAAAATGTCTGCAGAGATGCAGGTTCATTAAAAAGAAACCCTATATGTTACTTGTTTATTAAAATATTTTAATAGCTTTCCTTATTCAAATATAATAAATATGTAGGACAGCTCATTTAAAACTGACATTGTTTTTGTGAAGGAAAATGCACAATAAAAATATTTTAAAAATAAATAAAACTGATATTGTTTTTGGAGCTGAATGATGATCGTGATTTTCTTTTCTTATTTAAAATCTTTTAAATTGTATTTTTTAAATATTTAGGTAAAGTGGATTGGAAAAAGAAGAATAAATACTTCTGGCAAAACTTTCGAAAGAATCAGAAGGGACTAATGAGACAGTCTTCAAAAGGTAAAAAAAATTAATGAAATTCTTTTTTTTTTTTCATTATTAAATTGGGAAAGAAGGTTTATATAGCTATTGGGCCCTTAAGCAGGATTTATATACTCAGCTTTAATCTTTAACAAGGATGGTCATAATTATTTTATAATGCTTTGTGTTCAATAAGTTCCAAAGTATTAGAGAAGTGGGTTATCTACTGTATTGTCACTTATTAACCCTGAGCAAAGCTTCAGGTATTTTTTTTATCCCATGGAACAATTATATGCTAATTATCATGAGATAAAGCTCTTTTTAATGTCATTATGCTACTATTCACAAGTTGGGTCTCTTGAGGGGGAAAAAAGTCCTTTAGCACCCTTCCATTGGAAGGGTCAGCTTAATCAGAGAGTGTCTGAACTTAGGTCAAGCTCACAAAATTCATGGTTCTCTGCTTCCATTATGCAGACACTGTCATACAGATATCCCCAGGGTAGGATCAGGGCAACTGACAAAATGTACATTATGACTATATAAAGCAAGTCCTGATTTATATAGTTGCAACCAAATATGATAAAACCAGTGTTTGTGTTGTCATGTCACAATATATATTTTGTTATCTTTGTTCATCATCTCAGTGTCAGGGCTCTGGTAGTTACCCCCATTTAAATCATGAGTCTGTAGCCAGATTTTCAAAGCTTAAAGAAGATTTATTAGGAGTAAACATGCTGGTGCTGCCTGGGTGTAACCGACTCTGAGACACATCATTCATTGTCACCCTTAACCCTGCTTTCCCTCCATCCCCTGGGTGTATCATTCTCCAATGGGACACGTCCACAACCAAGAGTCACCAGTCATACTCTCCAGTTAGAATTTTGCGTGGCAGAAACTTCGTCGCCTAGAAACTATCTATGAAAACATTTATGGAATGCAGTTTTGGTTTTGTAAGCTGCTGCACTATTTCCCCCTTCCACTTCTATTGGCAACTTTAAAAAATCAGAGAAATATTTTATGAGTTGACAGTCAATTTATAGTGACTTCAGCTTTGATAATTCTATATTGATTTTATTATTGTTATGAACCAATGGCATCTTAGGTGACTTTATATCTCATAGATAAAACATATTTGCAGTTTTAGGAAACATACAATTTTATGATAAAATTAAGTAGTCCATCCTCTCTTCCATATGGCTGCCTTCAAAAGTATAAATTGGGTAACCCTTGATCAATTTTATTAAAACATGCTTTGGTTTAGCAGCTATGGATAGTTCCAATTTTATAAAATTTACATCTTTCATACAAGATATTATTCACTAGATGTTAGAATCTAAGATGCTAAACCTATTAGTGTTTTAATGTTGATAAAATTGTCATAATGTCAAGCAGCCCAGACAATTTGCATAGTTTCCATATTCAGATTCGGCAAAAAAAAATGCATACTGAGCAAAGTGATGTCATAACATGATATTAATATAATATCCTCAATAATTCTCTGAATTGTCACATAAACATTATTATTTTCCCGAATCGTTGCAAATCATATACACATCAAATGAAGCATTCCATACAGAGGAGTTAAAAATAGCAATTTCCTATCTCCAGTGTCATTCTCATTCTGAAATGTTAAGATCATTGCAGTTTTCAAAACTTAAATAAAGATGTTGAAATGTGAGTAAGCAGGGAATTAAGTAGCATGATTAAACATGGGAAATTCACTAGGAAAATCATGCCTTATTTTGCTTGACTCATATTTCTTTTGTATTGAAATACCTTATTCTTTCATCTTTCCTATTTATCTCCAGGGGAAGATGTTGGTTATGTGGCAAGTGAAATCACAATGAGTGACGAGGAGCGGATCCAGTTAATGATGATGGTCAAGGAGAAGATGATTACTATTGAGGAAGCTCTTGCAAGGGTACAGAATGCAAATACATTATATATGCTAGGGACAAATGATAGGCCTGATTACATCAGGGAATCACAGAATCTTGTGCATAGCATCCATAATTATGAGAATCAAACAAATACAGGGAGTTTCTAAATAGCTGATTTTGTGGATCAAACAGACATTTCTGTCCCCTCCAGGCAGGAACAGAATCCTGAATGAACACATTAAAGATCTTAATGTAAAAAAAAAAATCAGCCCTGGAAACATTTATTCTATTCTTTAATGTTAATCTGAACAATAAAAAGATTGTGTGTGTGTGTGTGTGTGTGTGTGTGTGTGTGTGCGCGCACACACACACACACACACACACATATTTTCATGTCTTGGCGTGTTCGGGTCTTTTCCCTTGTAAGATTGAGAGCATCTTGGCAATGTTTCAACGAAGTCCCACTCGCCATCTTCAGGCTGGTGCTTTCAGTTTCGTGCTTGTGCAAAAGCACGAAGCCAAAAGCACCAGCCTGAAGATGGCGAGTGGGACCTCATTGAAATGTTGCCAAGATTCTCTCAATCTTACATGGGAAAAGACCTGAACACACCAAGACCTGCATACCTGTACCTGTGAAAATCTATGAAAACAAATATATATATGCCCTGCCACATACATTGGACAGACCAATAGAAGAATAAGTACCCGCCTGGATGAACACAAAAATGCAGTAAAAAAGCTGGAACACACTTCCTCACTAGTCCAACACATGAAAGCCACAGGTCATAGCATCAACTTCAATGGTACCAAAACCCTAGCCGCTATAGAAAACCCCAGCTACAGAATTATCAGAGAAGCCATAGAGATTGAAAAAAAGACCTGAAAGCATGAATAGAAGAGGTGACTCCACCAATTATCTGGAAGCCTGCATTCGCAAACAAAAAAATCTCCACACCACAAGCCAAGCACAAACAGACCCCCCCCCCCAATACCTCCAGCTCAAACACACCCCAACCAGGCACCCAGATGAAACCTAGCTTCCTAATAAATGATAGCCATCCTTTTACCCAAAGCCAAGCCGCACTAAAAGCCTCCAATACAGGAAACACAATGTTGCCAGCCAATCAAAAAACGCTACAAAACAGACAGAAGATATTAGAAGCACCAATCAAGCAGAACACAGCAAACTCCAAGACCAATAAACACAGACTAAGACTCCCAACCAATCAGGATGAAGAAAAAACCATTCTGGCACAGCATAGGCTAGCACCAAATTTAAAACAGAAACAGATGTGGAAGCCTGACTCACAGACGAACACAATGCACAAGCCTGATAATGGCAGATGAGATTCTGCCGAAACGTCGCTACAACTTTAAAAGCACAACTATAATGATGTGGGAAAATACCCGAACAAAGCTGAATACCATACATATAGATACCTGCGAAAACTTAAGAAAACACACACATACACACACACACACACACATATATATAATATATATATATATATATATTGCATTTGTACAAAACATATTCACGATGGATGAAATTTTAGACAAGACTATTTTCAGCTCGGTAATAATACAGTATATAACTAAAATTCCTATTCATATAAAATTATTTCTCCATTGAGGATTAAGTTTCCAGATTGGTTTGTGCGTGTGTGCACGCAAATATGTGTTTGGATGTGTAATTTTTTCAAAACAGTCTAAACAACAAAGATTCCCTTGTACAGTAGGTTAAAAAAAGATGTGATATAAATGTATTAGAAATATATACATATTTGAATAATACTTGCATTACACAAATCTATAAAAATTGTAACTTTATTGTTGTACTGATATGTCTTTTCTTGTATTTTTCAGTTTTTTGATACAGCACTTTTTATATATTTTTCCTTCTTTTTGGCAATGTATATAACATTACCACTATCATTTTTATGTTTTGCCCTTTTTTCTTTTGTTATTAATAAATAAGCAATATAAATAGTTAAATAAATAAACATCTAAAGAACAAAAATACCTTCATAATTGTTTTGTACTGATACTAACAGAGCTTTAATTTCTTCAACAATTATTTGCTTATAAAAAAATTAAACCAAATAAATATACTTTTAGCAAGTGAGAAAACTGAGGGATTACTCTTCGTTTTATTTTCATTTCAGCTGAAGGAATATGAAACTCAACATCGGCAATCAGGAAACTTGGATGCATCTGAATGGTCTGAAAGTCCTTATCCGACATTTGATGTTTCTTCCAATTGCAATGTAAGTCCGTATGATTCTACCAAGTTCATGGTTACTATAGACTTTTAAAAACATACAGTAGTTGAATGTCATTAGAGGAATGGAAAATAAAAAGACCTTCAAATTGTAGGTAGTCCTTGACTTTCCATCCTTGACTGACCAATTGAAGGTATGACACCCCTCCAAAAAGGGACGACCAAGATATGCAGGTCCAATGGCCTCCCCCTCATGTAGTCACAGAAATGCATATTGCACATTTGGCAACTGGCCTACAGAGTCCATTATAGTGGGGAGATGGCAGCATGAAAATGTAATAATTGAATTTATGGTCATTTGACGCATCCCATGGTCGTATAACTGCAATTTGGTTTATGGACCGCTGCATTCAGTTAATGACAACCAGAAAAAAATTGAGTCAGTCATGTGGGTGCCTTGAATTATGACTGTCACAGCATACAATGAAAATTCCAGTTGTAGGACTACCTATAGAAATATAAAAGATAAATTCCACGAGGATTGAATGTTGGGTATTTTTACTTCAGAGAAGTTTAGGGTAGAACTGGACAGGAGCAAAAGTTAGCCAGATCTTATCTTTCTTTCCAAAGACCCACCAGAGGAACTGTACTTATTTCTAAAGGCAGTCAAATATCTTTCCAGGCTTTTTATTTTAATTTCAAGGAGTCTTTTTATTTTATTCTAGCACTTCTTGAAAGAAAGGTCAACATAAAAGTAGGAAAAGTCCTATTTTACCATTTAATTAATATTGAACTTGCTTCTTCCTCTTCACTTTTTGTTATATATGGTTTTTCTCTTGGCAAATTGAGATGTTTGGTCTCTGTCTGAGCCTAAAAAGAGTTAGCAAGTTACCCATCATCCCTTTATCTGCAGTAAGGCTGCTGTCTGTTACTACTATATTCTTAATTATATGCTCCGTTTAGACCAGTCCATCTCTGACCTTCTGCAACTGTGATGGCGAAACTATGGCACTCGAGCTGCAGGCAAACTTACCTCACTGCGCATGTGCGCGCCTCACAGCTGATTTTTGGCTGTTTGAGGCCTTTTTTTGGCCTCCCAGAGGCTTGAAAAAAGCCTTTGCAGGACGAATAGGCCCATTTCATCACTTCCTGTAATACTGGAAGTGACGAAACGGGCCTATTATTCAATCCTGTAAATCCTGCAGAGGCTTTTTTCAAACCTCTGGGAGGCCAAAAAAGGCCTCAAACCGGCAGAAAATCAGCTGTGAGGCGTAGTACAGGTAAGGGAGCAGCAGCAGGGGAGATTGCATGCCCAGGGGGTGTGGGGGAACAGACATCGCATTTTGGGTGCTGGTGTGCCAGCGTGCGCGCACTAGTGCACCCACAATTTTTGGCATAGGAGCCCAAAAAGTTTAGCCACCACTATTCTAGAACATGCCAAACTGGCGACTGCATTGGATTCAGAGAGATTTATTTCAGTATTCTGATAGCTCCATGTCCAGTTTGTAGTTTAGGGAACTTTTCCACATCTTTCCTAGTGTGTGTTCTCTAAGAAGTGGTGATGTGTCATGGTGTAATTCAGGCTGACTTTTCATAAATATTTTGTTATACTTACTATGGGTTTACTCATAGAACTAATGATTAATTTAATTATGATGAGTTCAATAAACTACAATTGATTGAGTTTGTACAAATTAAGCCACAATAATAATGATTAAGTTCACTCAACATGTCAAAACAAAATAAAACATATTACCTTATGATTTAGCATAAATCATAAGCCCAGTCCTGCTTTTCAAGGACGTACTTATCAGATCATAATTTGAAGGAATTTAGAAACCATAATTAATCTCAAATGACCCAATGACCTCTTTACTTCCAGAAGTCAGTGAATCTAGTCTATTGTTCCAGAAATCAATGTCCACAACTACAGATCAAGTTGTACATTTCATAAAGGAGCAAGAAAATCAACTTAAAATTGTTGGAGTTCTCCAAATCTCTTTAACAGTGTGATCTGAAAGCAAAATATCCAATTTAAAATATGTTGATTCAGCAATAAACCCTTCAATGACTCTCCAGAACAGCAGCCAAACAGACAGCAACAAGTACTTTCACTCCACCCAACATCTTGTCATTATCCTGTCAATAGCAGACAGATAAACAAACAAAAAAGTTCAAGTTCATCTACAGATGAAAAGGACACCACATTTCAAAGTCCAAAAATCTTTCTTGAACCCAAAGAATGTTAAGACAGGAAGTACTCCAATTTATTTCAGAGATTGTCAACCCACCTTATCAGTCAAGGTGGAGCTGGTGTTCTAATTATAATTAATAGTAGTATAGCCCTGTCAGTGTCTGGTGACATGTTATGAGTAACAAGAAAACAAGACTTTCTGAGAAAACTATCATATTTAACACAGAAAAATATTAACACAGATGAGATAAGGGGGAGGAGAAAAGTAGAAGAGAAGATTACAATGCTAATATTAAAGGTGTAATATATTGACATTTTTGCTTTTCAGTGGTTCTCTCTGCTGGTGTCTTGTGAAACTTCTAATAAGATCACAAGTTATTACTCAAGTAATATCTGCAAATATAAATATAATTAACAGAAGCAGGGAAAACCATTACTAAAACATAACATCATCAAAAGCAGCTTAGAGTCAACATGTTGTGATAATCTGTTCTAAAGTACAATAAATATGTATCTCCCTGGGTTCATTTTATCCATATATAGATTTGTTTATCACTATATATAATTTTGTCTTAGTGAAATAGCCTTAAGGCAGTTAAAAAATGACTACTAATATTAGCTTCAGCCTTAAAATTTATCTTTTTTTTAAATCTCACTGTCAGTGCCAAAAAGTAATGTATTATTCCTCCTACTTATTGCCAGCATTTAAATATATTTTCAGTAAATTAATACATTGTTTCTTGTTATCCTTAACTTCTCAGCTACATTAGTTCTTTCATTTTTTTTTCTGTCTCTCCCCATGTTCAGTACCTACAGAAGAGCATCTTCTAAAGTTTCCATCTTGGTTGAGAATTCTAGTAATTAAAATCTCAAAAATCTCTTCATTGGGGAACATGAGATTAGTAAAAGGCAGCATGGTATGATTAAGTGGTAGTACATAAAATCTAAATTATATAAGAATTAAGTATGTATTCAACGTATTCTGTTTTTGTTGGGGATGGGCGGAGGGAAAAAATCTAATTCTTTGCTCCATTCCTCACTCAAAGAGAAAATTTTAATTGTATAGTATTTGAATACCTTTTCCCACATCTCTGATTCAAGGAATCAACATAATAGAAGTGTTCAAGCCTTCTAGATGTGCTGGATCACAAATCCAATCATTTGCTCAGCCAGGGCAACAGAGAATTGGGTTACAGAAGACTGTATAATGACAGATATATTCTTCTCCTCAGGAGGGGCTTATGAAAAACTTTAAGATGGTTCAGAGTGCAATTCACTAGCTAGCTTGCATTAGGCAGTGCAACTCAGGGAGCTCCTTATGACAGAGCAAAGTTATGGCCAATGTCCAAAGCAATCCTACATGAACCAAATGCCTCTCTGACTGCATGTTGCTGCCATGCTCGATTCTGTGCCATCAAATGAAAATAGAACAATAGATCCTTGCCAGTGAGATTTAAATGGAATTGGAAGTTAATAATATGTTCAAACTACATCTGTGCAGCTACAGTTTAATTGAGCTCCAGATCCAAGGGTACTGGACAGAACAATAGAGCTTCATTAACACTGTTTTTTCCAACTGTCTTGCCCTGTAGTTCCTTTCTCATTTCCTACGTGTGACAACTTTCAAATTCTCATTTTATATTCAGTGGGAAAATCAAGGCTTAACAAGTTGAAACAGCCAGCAGGGGATGCTGTAGAAGTAATGAATTTCTTGGACCTCTGCCTCACAGGAACATATATACAAATCAAAATTAAAACTCTCCTCATTTTCAAATATGTGAATTTCATAGTTCCATAGGGAGGAAAAAAAATGTATAGTTTTCAGTAATTCCAAACCTGGCACTTTCTAATTCTCCTATGCTATTTGGAGTTGATGGGAATTATAGTCCAAGCTATTGGAAAACCATCAGGATAGGCAATATAATATGCTGAATTTTCAATGAGACCAGGCGTTCTTTCTTTCTTTTTTGCTATTTCTTAGGGTGATTTCTCTCTGTAACTTAATGAAACTATTTTTAAAACAGAAATGAAAGAATGGCTGTATTATACAACTTGTAAAAGAGTTTTAACCTTATGATTTTAAATATTGATCAGTCAAATACGCATACAGTATTTGTGTGGTGATCTGACAACATATTTACCCCATATGGCATGTAAATATGACATGATTAAATAGTTCCGATGAAATTGGTTTAATAGTTAATTCTATTAATAGTTTGTTCAAAAAGGGAACTAGGTTTCTATAACAGGACATAACTCTGTAATGTCTTGCTGTGTGTGTGTACATGCATGCATACTTTGTGTGTGTGTGTGTGTACATATATACACACCCCAGAATCAAGAAGGAACTTATTTGGTAAATGTTTTTTAAATAAGTGACTGGAACCAATCTTTTGAAACATGTTTCAGCAACTATTCCATTATTGAATCAAGCCCTCAGTTGAAATTACAACATTTTCCCATCATGAATACCTAAAAGAAAATCCCTATTTGTTTTATCAGTTAATATTCAGTGTGCTTCTTGCTAAAGTAGCCAGTGGAGCATGCTTGTTCATTAGATGCCAGGTAGACTGGCACACAGTAGAGAACTCTTGCAAATTGATTGAAGAAACTGTTGTTACTGCTTACATGCTAGATGGATGCAGAGTTAAACTATGTTGAACTTTCCATGTTCCATTTGACGTGAGTGTCCTCCCATTTCTTCAAGACCCTAGAAAGTTGATGCAATTTACCAGGTTGAAATTGGGACTTATGGATTTATTTTGTCAATTACATAATTTCAAGCTCAAATGTTGTAAAACTAATAAATGAATTCTATTACATTTTGGAAATGTATAGCTACTCATTGTTCA